ACCCCCGCCCTGCAACTCACCACTGTGGAGGCGTCTCTGAGCAGCAAGTTCTTGATGGAAGACTTCATCGTGATGTTGGCTCGGACGATCACTTCCAGGGACTTCACGGCTGAGTATTCCTGAGGGTGTGGGGAGTCGGGAAGGAGACCCTCCTCCTAAATGCAAACGATCCCCTCCCTTCACCCACTCCCTGAAATTACAAGTGGACCAGTGTCCACCACAGGGTGTTTCTGCCTGGCTTGGGTTAAGAGGACACTGCATTTGGACAGGGAGGAGGGAGAAGAAGCCAGTCCAGAAGGGGCTTTGGAGGAAGAAGCCCAGGTGGGAGCCCCGGTGGTGTCCTCACCTCCAGAAAGGTGCTGTTCCAGAGGCGGCCCCAGATGTGCAGCACAGCCGCGCGGTCAAAGCTGAAGAGGGGGCAGCTGAACACCACACAGTTGGCCGTGCCCCGGGCACAGTCCTGGAGGGGAGGACAGGCAGGACTCACAGCCACTCAGCTCCACCCCACGGAGCCTGTCATCTCTCCTACTTTCCTTACTTGACCTCAAACTCCCCTCCTCCAGGAAGTCTTCCCAAACTAGCTTTGTGGTCCAGAATAGCTGCCTACCCCAAATTGGAGATAGCTGACTTTGAAACGCATGGAGGGGGGGGGTCTCTTACACAATAGCATCAGGCAGACTAGCTTCCCCAAGTGATGCGTATTGTTACCTAATGATAACCCCATTTATTGAGCACCTAAGTGCCAGGCACTTATCTCATTTAAACTTCACAACAAGGCTGTGTGCAGTGGCTCATGCCTATAATCTCGGCACTCAGGAAGCCCGAGGCAGGAGGATTGCTTAAGCCCAGGTGTTCGAGATCAGCCTAGGCAACAAAGACCTCACCTCTATAAAAATAAATAAATAAATAAATAAATTGGCAGGCTCAGTGGCTCAGCCTGTAATCCCATGCTTTGGGAGGCTAAGGTGAGTGAATGCCTGAGCCCGTGGGTTCGAGACCCGCCTGGGCAACTTGGTGAGCCCTCATCTCTACAATAAATCAAAAAATTAGC